AATAAGAGTATAAAAAATTGGAATGAGAAATTACTTTCTCATGTAATTGTTAACAGAACGCGGCAGTGTACAAAACACAAGTCAATAATAGAAGCGAATATTGAACAAATAGTACTCAGTCCAGTTCTTTCGAAAAATGAACGCCGTGCACATAAAGTAGATGCCTACTCGAAAACCACAAGTTATTCTCTCTCTCTCACACTAATAGTCGTTCACTTATCTTACCGTTTCACTTACTCTTACTACTCTCAACTATTATGCAGTGCAGTTAAGTTCATTAAATTATTAAATATTGCTGTGAGAATAATTAATTATACATTTCATTCAAGGTCAATTCACTATTTTGTACACGAAAAAAAAGAATAATCAAACTTACCATGAGGAGTGTCAAACTTGAAAAAGGTTAGGAAAAAATTAATGTTTTTTATTTATTTATTATTAAATTCTAATAACCGTATCAAATTTAAACTAGTTGACAATAATTTTTATTCAATATTATGAATATTCTTGACATCCATACTTACTTTAATTACAAAGTAAAATCCACGCATGATCTAATTTATTTCATTGGTAAGGGATGTTTCTTAAATAGGAAATTTCCCCCATCGATTGCGTAGCCGAGAGGCTTAATGTAAAAGCGTGCGATTTATAATTATGCGTATATTTTGTGACGGTGCTTAACAAGGGACGCCTTGACATTTGTTTCGATCACTGTGAAATTTATCGTGTCGGACTCTCAGTGATTTTACCAAATAAATTGACCGTCGAGTGTTTCCCGCAAGTGAGTTGAGCAGCGAGCTGCTTAAATATTCGGACGACGAAGCTGAGAGGCAGTAGAAGCTCGGCAACCAAGCGAGACACTTCTCTCAGATTATCAGCGCCGTTCACTACTAGAGTCCGTCAGGTATCAGCGCATCCGGGTCTCGGCGAAAAAGGTGTATCAGGTACGTAGACGGCTTCTTTTGGGCCCGCCGCCTCGGCGCCAAAGCAGCTGCTTTCTTATCTCTCCACTTCTATCCATCAAACCCTCATTCCCTTTGACCACCCTCTGGTGCACGCTGCCTCGGCTATTAGAGAAGAACTCCGCCATTCCACGGTGCACGCTGCCTTGGCTGCCGATCCTTAGTGTAAATCGCGATAAAGACCTCTTAGAATCGCGAGTGCGCGAGTGCGTTTTTTCGCGAGTGGACCCTCGTCGGGAGTGCCGTCATAAAAAACCCCCCGTGGCGTACGCTGCCCAGGCTGTTACGACGCGCGGACGAGTAACGTGTTCCCCAAAAGTGCGAGAGCGATCATCAGGCCCCCTAGGACACAAGCCCACCGACCAACCGCCGATGAACTCACGTGAGGAGAATCTACCTTACCGGCACGCGATAAATTCCAAGTGAGCCCCTTACCCACAGAGGAAATAATTTCCTTGAGACTCATTCTTCTGCCGCGAGAGCTGCGTTGGCCGTCAACTGACGAGCGCTATCCTGGCCGCGAGTGGAGGAAAATTCAAATTCGAACGAGGGGATACTTACTTCGCTCTAACTACAATTAATGAGATTATTCCCATTTTCCTTCATTTAATCAAGTGAAGTTAATTTATTTTTTTGAGCCTCGCCATCGAACGAACAAAAGAAAAAAGACTTTAAAATTTATTTTGATCCTTGGAGAGGATAATTTTAGTTGCATAGCCCGCTTAATAAGTGCATTTTCCTTTATCACGTCGCATCGAGAGACTCACTTCGCTTTAAAGACAATTCACGAGATTATTTCCATTTTTCTTTTATTTAATCAAATAAAGTTAATTTAACTTTTGAGTTTCGCCATTGCATAGCCCGTTTAATAAATGCATTTTCTTTTGTCACGTCGCATCGATAGATTTATTTCGCTTCCACGACAATTCGTGAGATTATTCCATTTCTTTATTCAATCAGATCAAGTTAATTTATTTATTTTTTGAGTCTCGTCATCGAACAGATTAATTTAAAAGGGCACTTTCAAAATTATTTTGTTATTAACCTCATGGAGAGGATTATTTCAGTTACTTAGCCGGCCTAAATAAATGCATTTTCTTTTGTCACGTCGCATCGATAGACTTACTTCGTTTAAGCGATCAGTGTAAATGAATTGACTCAACGTTTATGAATAAAATCCACTCATTATAATTCAACCAACCGTGCCTTATTTCACCTCGAGCTCTCCTCTAATCCACCTTGGTGGTCCAATGATGGTTGCCATTAATGTTCCAATAATGGAACGGAGTTCGCCAAGCATGGCCCATTACACAGCCACAAAAAAAAAGTTCTGACCTGGGGGTCTCACTATGTAGACTTTATGGTTTTTGGGTCGCTGAATCCGAATCCGAGGTCCATTTAACCCCATCAGATCAGGATTTTGGCATAACCTCAAAAAACCAATATGGCGGACACATTTTTGAAAAGTTTATCGGATTCGCTTGAAATTCTTTACTCGGGGGTTTTTGGGGTCGCTGATTAAGAATTTAAAGTCTGATTTCAAAAATTCAAAATGGCGGACACGTTTTTGAAAAATTCATCGGATTTGCTTGAAGTTCGTTACTCTGGGGTTTTTGGATTCGCTGATTACGAATCTGATATCGGTTTTTTAAAATTCAAAATGGAGGATCCAATATGGCTGACACAGACATATTGGATCCGACATTTTGAATTTTTGAAATCTGACTTCAAAAGCGTAATCAGCGACCCCAAAAACCCCAGAGTAACGAATTTCAAGCGAATCCGATGAATTTTTCAAAAACGTGTCCGCCATAGTGGATCCACCATTTTGAATTTTTGAAATCAGACTTCAAATTCGTAATCAGCGACCCCAAAAACCCCCGAGTAACGAATTTCAAGCGAATCCAATGAACTTTTCAAAAATGTGTCCGCCATATTGGTTTTTTGAGGTTATGTCAAAATCCTGATCTGATGAGGTTAAATGGACCTCGGATTCGGATTCAGCGACCCAAAAAACATAAAGTTCACATAGTGAGACCCCCAGATCAGAACTTTTTTTTTTGTGGCTGTGTTATTGAACCAATCGTTTACGGGATGCAGGTCTGTTCCCCAAAATGAAAAGAGCATAATAATTATTTATTAAGTCGAATTCACAATTGACGATTTGCAATTTAGACTAATTTCTTTTGAAACGAATTGTAAATTGAACGAAATTCAATGATTTCGAATTGTCATTTAACCTCATAGGAATGTAAACAAATAATATTTGATTCGACTTCACATACTTTATACTTTCTAATTGTAACAATTTTTATCTGTCTGAAATTTCATGTAAAATAATCTGAAGAAAAAAGAATTTAAAAGTTTTATAAAGATGATACAAAAGAAACTAGGTTTGAAATAAAAGAAGCCTCAAAAAATTAATATTTATAGTAAAAATTATATTAGCAAATTAGAAACAATCACAAACACTACATGAGCAAGACAAAGACAGATAGACCGCCATTTTACAAGAAAATGAAATTCGATTGTTTAGAATCTAGGGACTATCACAGAAACATTATGAGGTAAAAAGTTAGTTTGGTAGAGGGTAAAAGTTGCTTTGGTACAGGGTAAAAGGTAATTTTGTGATGGGTAAAAAAGTTACTAAAATATTACCAGAAAAATGGACGCAAATTGATTCAATTTACGCAGATTAACCTATAAATAATTCAAAACTCATTTTATAAATATAATAACTTGATTATAGAATCACAAAATAAAAACTTTGTGATTATTTAAACTTTGGAATGCTGTCAAACTATTTAATAACTCGTTTTCTCTCACAAAATAGTTTTGCCACCGGACAGTTGTAAACAAACAGGTTTGGGAAACAAGAGTTGCAAGAGTGTTTCAAGCAGGGTTGGATAGATAGAAATTTTGTAGGAAAATATTCATGCAATGCGTATTAGGCTGAGTTTACATAACTGCGTTCGAACAGTGCGTTCTGCTGACCGCTTTTTATCAGTTTCCCTCATATTTCAACATAGAATACGGTTGTTGATATAAAATAAAGATTTTTGAATTTGTGATTGATTATAAGTTTGGAGGTTAAGGATGTTTGTTTACTAAGTTCGTTGTATATTTTGACAGCATTCTATTAAACAATATTCAGTATTTACCTTAACAAAAATGAAACCATATGTCATATTGTGGACTCCCCATAAAATGTATAGGCCAACGCAGAATAAAAGCATTACCGGAATCGCAATCGAAAGCGTAACTGTAAGAAAGAGTTAGAGAAGGATAAACAATATTCCTATCTTCCTATCCTTCTCTATCTCATTCTTCTGGTTGCGGTTACGCATTCCGGTAAACGTTTCTATTCTGCTTTGGTCTTGAATGATGGGATAGATAAACATACAAACATATATCTGTCATTTTCTATCTCGTGCAGTTATTCTTAGGCCATATTGTTATTGAATAACAATTATTTTACATTTTGTGTTTTTTGCACAAATTTGTATAATAGTCTGTTTTTCTTTTTCAAAGATTCTTTACAAATTTCATTAATTAAAATTATTTTGTTTAAGTTTTAAAAAAATATGCTAAATTTTTTTTTATGTTTTTAAGTTTAAATGTTATTTGAGAACAACTAACTAACAAAATTGTAGAAAATATTTCAAAAGGGAAAGTGAGATTTTATTTTATGAAAATGACAAATATTATAATTGTTTAATGAAAGGGTTAAATAATAATTTCGAATTACTTATAATTGATCACTTTATTCTAAAAATGATGTAACTGATTCTTTCAGAATTTAGTGAAATAAATTTAAAATATATTTTTATTCTGCGAAGAAATATTTTTTGCTTGAAGGTTATGAAAATGTTATGTTAATGTTATTAATTTTATATTCAGAGAAAAAGCCTCCTTAATAGCAGTTTAGAATTGTGATCATTACAGAAACAAGCTTCAATTTAATTATTTTTAATTTAATTTGATATTAAATGATTTTTAGATTAATTTTTAAATTCATTTTTATTTGCCATTGCAGATTTTTAATTTTATGATGTGCTACAAAAGGTGATGAGTATAGAAACAAAATTAAGTTTCAGAAATCAATAATTAATATCCAATAATCCTCATAATTCCCATGCTACCTGCAGGAAGTCTGTAAATAAAAAGTGAAAATTAATTAATAGTTTACTTGGACAAAATAATTTTTTAGATTATTATATTTGAACGTAATATTTTTAAATTACTCACAAGTTAGTGTAAATCACCAAGAGCTTTTTTCAATATGATGAATTGTTTATCATTCCATCTGTGTGCGTGAAATACTTCTACTGACAACAAATCATCAATTGAGAAGTATACAAAATCTTCATCGATTTCAATTTCATACGCCATTACCACAACATTGTGTTGAATTGTCCTTACTTTGCGGCATACGAAAATCGGACTATCATTTCTCCAGATAATAGCGTGCAACCCTGCGAACTCGGGCATATTTTGCTCAGTATAATTTGCTACTAGAAAGCACTTCAAAGAGACATATTTTATGCCATTTATTTTTACCCAGTTAGCAAGAAGAAGGCGCCTTACATCTGGAAACAATGCTCTAAATGGAAGTAGATTGATGGGAACCCACTTTGTTGGACCTTTGGTAATCTCTCGTTCTAAACTTCCATTCAAAACGTATGCCTGATGTAATTGATGTTTCTTAGCGAGTGTCAATGGCAAATTTTTGTAATTACGCATGCACTGAGCAATGCGTTTGAAAAATTGATGTTTTGATTCCGCTCTCATAGTTGTATATTGTTGTAAAGGTCCGAATCTTAGGATCGCTCTTATTCGATGTAATAAAAAATGCTGCTTTGGAGTTTTTTGTCTGCATGAGATATCAATATAATTTCTATCATTTTTAAATAATTCTCCAACGAAGGCAAGCCAGGAACAACTCTATCTGACACAATTAATGGCAACATTGTCACTAATTGTGCCATTTGTGCTGCTGTCTGTTTAAAACCTAGAGATGGATCTAACAATTGTCTTTCGTTGATGGGTGTTGGTTTGGAAGATTTTTCTGCATAACCGTAATCGAAGTCAGATATTCTTTGATTCAATTCTTGAATTGTTATCAAACCTAATGTACAACAAATATCTTTTAAAAACATCTTCGTTGTTATTACACAAATTCCTAACCAATCATCGTGGGTCAAATCTGGAGGTGTTTGTGTAGGATCAAAATTTTCAATTTCCGTGAGCACTGTTCTACGATTGATTCCATATCTTGTTCTCAGCGTAGCTTTATCTTCTTCTTCAATAGCATCTTCAATATCTTGAGTTTGGCGGGTATATTCATCCAATGATCGAATTTTGGTTTCATCTTCTTTGCACATAACTCTCATTTCATTTAGTGTCGCGTTACAAACACGGCATGAGAACCGTGCACTGAACGAATTTCTAAAGCCGCATAATTTTTGTACTCCCAGATTGTCACCAAGTACCGTTGACATTGTTCCATAAATTACCTCATCATCTGACAAGACAATCCCATTTTCAAGTTTCTTGATTTCGTTGACGACATGTTGTAAAATTGTGTTCATTCCATAAACATCAGTAATGGGAACATGAATAAATTCATCTGGCTTAATAGTGACAGGCTGATTTCCATCAATTGTTGAAGTTCCATAAGGAACAAACTTTTCACCTAACAAAATTCTGTTTGGGGCCACAACATTAAATTTTTTTTGGAAATACCGATCTTTCTTTTGTATGCTGTTAAGTCCTTGACTGCAGTCGATATTATTAATAATTTCTTCAACATCTACGTAATTATCCAAATGCAAATTATGTGTATCCCTGAGTTTCTCTCTCACATCATTTAGAGAATGAGTAACGTACCATTTCACCACATCTTGCATTTTCCATAGAATGTTTATAACATCTTAATTGGTAGCTCGAGTACTGCTCCTTAAGTATAGAAGGTATTCTCCAATCATTCGCTTCTCAGGAGTATCATCTACATCATCAATTTCATCATCGCTGTCCTCAGGGTCAGAAACATCGCTGAAATTTTCATTATCAGAAGGATCATTAACGGGATCCTCGGGAATATAATTCTCATCCATTGCTGTAAAAGATATTTAAATAATTGAAATTTATGTATAAATACAAAAAAATATTAGAAAATTTGTTATTCTGATACATAAATATATAACATGCTAACTTTTTTATGAATGGAATGTCATGAGGTAACAGAGAACTGCATTTTTATTCAAATGTAACTTTTAATTTGTTAAATTACTGAAAATTATATTCTTACGCTTCCTCTACAATAAATTAAAAATTTGATCTATTTTTTCTTTTAAGGATTACCACCAGCAATATAAGGAAATGAGAGAAATTTATCAAATTTTCAATTTGTTCATTAGATTATTTTAGAAACATGACTTTTTCAGAATTTTTTACTATCTACTTTTTTCTTAAAAAAATATAAAATAAATTTTCAATTTAACATAGGCTCTTATGTGAACTCAGATAAATCTTATAGGAAAAAAGTACGAAGGAAATGAGAGAAAAATCTGTGGCTTTTTGTATAGATAGACAACGTCAAAAAGTTAAAACTGGGAGAATTTGGAGAAACTTTACCACAGATTCAATGAATAAATAATTCTTAAAGTTTCAGTTTTCAGAACAGTAATAATTGTATAACGACACGGTCACATCTCGGTTGCCTGTGCATTCTATAAATGCGGCTACACAATCCATGGGTACGCGACGAGACGTAAACGTTCCGTGATGACGTGAAAGCGTCGGCGTAAAGCGTAAACCATGTGAGTGAGTGAGTGAGAACCTGATATTTGTTCATCTCTTTCTATCGCACGATTTCTGCTTTACGCCGACGCTTTTACGCCGTCATGGGACGGTACCTTAACGTCAGCACGTCGCGTCGCATACCTATGGATTGTGTAGTCGCCTTAAGTATGAAACACAAAAACAAATAAAAAGGTGGCAACATCCTAACAAGATATAACCTCAAAAAATACAAATTAGTTTTAAGGCTGAAGTCCCATGGCAGCGTTTTGCGTTGCGTTTTGTAACTAGGCAATGAGTGTGAGAGAGATGGAGATATATGTTTGCTATATTTGCACTCATGGCCTAGTTAAAAAACGCAACGCAAAACGCTGTCATGGGACTCCACCCTAAACCCTTGAAATTAACAATATTCCTAAATCATAAGTTAATAATTTTTGTTTCCCCTGCAGTGTCAATCCTTAAAATACGAAATCATGACAGTAGATTGACTTTTTCTTTGATTGTATGTCTAAATAAATTTTACAAATATACATGATTCAACAGTTTTGTAACAATTAAATTTTAATAAATAATTGAAAATCTTTTTGGGCGATTACATATAGTTTAAATCCACATAATACGAGAAATGTGTTTCTTTGTGCAAATACATAAATGTTTTTTTATTAATTTTCTTATTTAATTTGTTATATCCACATTGCTTGTATTTGAAAGAATATCACTAAATTACCTACCCTCTAAAGCGTTTTTAAATATCCAATCTGCATATATTAGCGGCACGAAAACACTGTTTCTTTAATACTTTTCAATTGTCTTAGAATCAAAATTTACAATCCTTTTTAATCGAAATGTTAGCAATACACATAAATTTGAGAAAAAGAACTGAAATTTCAGATACCTAGTGATATTGTATACAATGGTAACGCTCTGCGAGAACTTCAACCATGGAATACGTAAACAATGTGATGAGACAAATTTCTTGGTTTAGGGTTCATTCACATTTAAGATTTAAGAGACAAGAATATGAAAAGGCTACACCGATGTTCAAAACTATAGGTTTTTTTATGTACGTATATAATTACCTCTAAAAGTTTAAACACAAAGCATTTTTTTATTGAATAATATTCGATTGAAAATATAAAAAAAAATTATTTATGAACTTGATATGAAAATTTGTTGAACAAAGTTCAACAAATATAAATGCTTAAAATCTTTCAATATATTTTCTTCTACATATTGCACAATCAATCTTTCCGATGTGATGATAAAATAATTTTAAATATAACTTTAATTCTATGAAAAACATTTTTTGTTTGAGGTTAAGAAGATGAGGTATTTTTTAAGCAAGGATTTATTCAAATTTTATATAAAATTTTTCAATATAATTTTTAATAAAAACAAATAATAGTAGAAATAAAAAAATAAGTATCTTAGAAAACAAAATAATGCATTTTCTTCAAGCAGGACATTACCAACTGCTCCATGCATTAATTTATAAAACTTTTTTAAGTTAATATATATATATATTTTTTTTTAAATTATATATATATATATTCAACAAACTCTTTCTATCAAGGTTCTCATCTTTAACAAAATATATATGAGAATAATAAATAATCAGTACAAATGACATGAAAATATATAATAATTTGTACAAACAAAGTGAGACTACGAAATGCGTACGCATATACATTGAAGAAAATATCTTCATCAATAAGTTTAATTCTCTTTAACACTAGTGGGCAGTAAATCACAGGCTCTTAAAGCGTTTGTCAATGTTATTTTTTTTAACTCTTTATCGATATCATTCAATGCTGCGTCTCTTAATACCGCTATGGCAACAAAAGCAAACTGCTGCTTAGGATCTGATGGAAACTCTATTTGGAATATCCAATACACGGCTAGTAATAAAAACAATGATCTCATACCATGCGATCCAAAAATTGGATTGCCGTCAACGTAACACATCGAATATAATTTATCCAACGGCTTATCAGAAATTGCAATTAATTTTAATGCATTTTTTGCATCAGGAACAGTTTTCTCTATTGGCGTTCCAGCCTAAAAAATGATAAAGTATAGTAGATATATTGTATGAAATAAGGTCAATATTCATAGTAAAGCAATAATAGTAAAATATTAATGCAAGAATTTTAGCTTAGTTTCATCGATATCACGATTGATTGTAAAAATATCAGATACTAATGTAACTATTATTGCAAATACTTACAGGGTGTAAGTTCAAAATTTTACCAGTTTCTCTAGCCTTCGAAAATAATTTTGGAAGGTAAAACAATACAAACATAGTCTGTCCGTCGATGGAAAGATTTTTTGAAGGAATGTTTAAATGACTCATAATTTTAGGTAGTGACTCTTCCCAATTTTTCTGCATATCTGGGACATCCAATTTTACCTGTTCACTGAATTCCAAAAGTAGCTAAAATTTTTAAATGGACATAACATTAACTAATTGTACTATTTTTCTGTCATAATAAAATATAATTTGAATAAACACTGTTTAAATAAGAGAAATTATTTGAACTATTAATAATAAGCAATTTTTTGTTTCGATAAAAATATTTATAACAACATTTAATGAAACTATTTCAAAAGACTTTAATTTTTATATATCATAAACAAAAAATGGCTTTTATTAGATAATTAAATTTTCTAAAGTTTCATACAAAGAATTACAAAGTTTAAGAAAAATTGTTAAGCGCGATCCAAAAATATAAAAAATTTTGTTTAATCATTTATCATTCTTATTTTCGTAAGAAGAACAATCTATGTTAATTATTATTAATGATAAAAATAATTTTACCACGTCTTTATTACGTAGAGCTGGATATTTTTCCAGTAATTCTTTCGCATTGACTTTGGTGGTTGCAGCAATTCTAGAATTCCTGGATGCCCGTAATTCTGCTCTCATGCCCGGCTTTCTTACAGTACTAGGTACTGTTTCACTGGTCGATGATTTCCATTTTGATCGATAATATTTACATGAATGTTTTAGGCGACTGTGAGTCTGATCCTAAATTATCAATAAAATAATATGTTTAACAATTAGTAAATTATATTAAATAAATTTAAACTTTATCAGAAAAAAATCCGGGAAAAATGAGGACAAAACAGGAAATTTTTTTGAACAAAAATAATAGACACCCGGGTAAACTATGAGAAACATTTACACTTACATGTTTCTCACCAAATGGACTTGATAAATAAGTTGGATATTTTTCTGTCAACAGAACAGATATTTCCAAAATTACTCCGGGTATGTAAACGATAAGCGATTTTTGAGATTCCTGCAACTCCTTATTTTCGTCTATCAATTTTTGTAATTCATCTGGTAATGGAGGTATGAATGTGCTAAGGTCGACCTAAAATAATTAAAACCTGATAACATAATTGACAATAAAACAAAGAATTCTCTTAAAAACATAATTTTCTTATTACCATTTCATCTATTACAATTTCCTCATTACTTTCCCTTCCCTCACAGCACCGGGATATTCAGGATATCCCAGAGACGTCCTGGGGATATCGATTTGTTTTCGGAAGTTTGGATATCCCTGGATTATCCTCTGGATATCCATGGACGTCCCTAGGATATCCCAGAGATATCCAAACTTCCGAAAACAAATCGATATCCCCAGGACGTCTCTGGGATATCCTGAATATCCCGGTGCTGTGAGGGTTGCTTCATTAGGCGTCTCTTCATCCAGTTCTTCCTCTTCTTCGGGCACCTTCTCTAAATTCGGATTTTCATTTTGTTCGTTGATTTGTGATGATAAATTATCTTCATTATTATTTTTGTGGTTCACCTTCTGATGTTTGGTGGGAAAACACCCACAGTAATCACAAACGCTTGTTGTTGAATTTGAATACCGCAGATATTCTGTACAGTCTGCACACCCTGTACATGGACCTCTTTTATAACAATTAGAAAGTATAAAGTATGTGAAGTCGAATCAAATATTATTTGTTTACATTCCTATGAGGTTAAATGACAATTCGAAAGCATTGAATTTCGTTCAATTTACAATTCGTTTCAAAAGAAATTAGTCTAAATTGCAAATCGTCAATTGTGAATTCGACTTAATAAATAATTATTATGCTCTTTTCATTTTGGGGAACAGACCTGCATCCCTCGTTCACTTCCGATTGGGTATTAGCAAACATTTTGCTGTAATTTTTTCCAAAGTTACAAAAGTTTGAAAAATGAAAATTTTTTTTGAAGAAAGTCACTTTTTGTATATTTATAGTGTTTTATTTAGTTTAAATTTTAAAAATTTTAGATTTTTTCTATTGTTTAATACACGGAAAAAAAGTACAACTGAATTTAAGAAATTTTTCGCCATATCAGCTAAACATTTCGTCAAAAACGAGCCAGCGATATTGGCATTATCGCCAGAATCGCGATATTCAATTTTACTTCAACGAAAACCTAACCCTAAAATGACAGACACAATTAAAATTGTGTAAAAGTAAAATTAAATGCGCATTTTTAATTTTTTTCAATCGTATGTTTCAAATTACAACCATTTGAAACTAAATTATTGAAATTAATACGGTTTTAACACTAAAAAAACACAAAAATTGATATTTATGCTGTCAGAAATATTTCTTGGTAAGAGCGGTAAGTTTTAATATATTTCCAATTTAACTGATAAATTATGCACTAAACTCAAGCTCACTTTCACTGAATTGGCTAAACATTCGGCTAATGCACAGTGGGGAAAAAAACACGCTATTGGACAAATTGATTTTTAGACCACAATTTTTAACCGATTCACAAAATTTTTCTTTTCAATTAAAGCTAATAAAATTTTGCATAAAACGTACGTTTTTTATTTAAGAAAAAAATGTTCCGTTAATTGTTTATTAAATGTTAAATAAAAAAATGAGAAATTTTTTTTCTTTAAACAAATATTGTTGCTTATGAAAGCCTATTATATTATTAATAATTACCAAAAACATTATAGCCATGTTCTAAAAATATTTTGAGACATTAACTATTTTGTTTAAACAATTTTTGCTTTTGTTATAAACAAATAAATTAACAAAAGCTTTTTTTAATATAATGTAAATTTAGTTACTAAATTTTGCATAATCTACTATACTTATGATATGCAAGTAAATATAGTTTTATTTATTGTTATAAACAATTTATTTATTAACAATTTTTATTTTCATTTTTTTAACACAAAGTTAGTTATATTTTTAAAACCAATATTATTATTAGTTACGATTTACAGGAAGTATTTTTTACTCTCATTTATTATTGTAACATTGTTTAAACAAAGCTTAATTAACAATTGCACCGTTTCTTTATTTTTAGTTGTTTAAGTCTCGTTTTTTGTATATTTCCTTGTATATAAAGTAATTTCTTAACTTGTTGTCAAATTTCACATTTGTTAATAATTTGAATTGTTATTAACAATTGTTAAAAAATATTAAGGAGAAATTTTTTTTAAAACATAGTGTGGGACCCAATCAATGACCAACCATACAAATAAGAAAATAACTATTTGATTCAAAATCTCTTAATTTGAATCAGTTAAAAATCGTGGTTTTAACTGACAATCAGTGACTGACTTTTTGCTTCTGAATCAGTTGAAAATAACTGTTTTTAGTGAAAAAATAACTAATTTTCAGTAAATAATAACTGAAAAAATAGTTAAACTTGACTAATTGAATCAGTCAAAAAAACATTTACTGAAACTTCATTACTTCAGATATTTTTAACTAAAAATCAGTTATTTTTAACTAATTGTCAGTAGAAATATTACTATTTGAATTAGTGACTGACTTTTTGCTTCTAAATCAGTTATTTTTAACTGATTAAAATTTAGAGAGTAAGAAAATAAAAAATAAAAAACAGACAATGTTGAATTGAAGACTGATTTTAAATTAAGATTTTCTTTTTATTGTGTAATTAAAGTTAAGATTTGTACACTCAACGTGCATTCGAAATTATCCTCGCTGATTCTACTCTGTTTTTATGATATTCAAACTATGTCTTAAAAAAATTTTCTCCTTAGTATTTTTGAACAATTGTTAATAACAATTCAAATTATTAACAAATGTGAAATTTGACAACAAGTTAAGAAATTACTTTATATACAAGGAAATATACAAAAAAACGAGACTTAAACAACTAAAAATAAAGAAACGGTGCAATTGTTAATTAAGCTTTGTTTAAACTATGTTACAATAATAAATGAGAGTAAAAAATACTTCCTGTAAATCGTAACTAATAATAATATTGGTTTTAAAAATATAACTAACTTTGTGTTAAAAAAATGAAAATAAAAATTGTTAATAAATAAATTGTTTATAACATAACAAAAAGTAATTGTTTATAACAATAAATTTAACTAGTGTTACGTCCGTAACCTATTACTCTATAAATTATATTACTAATGTATGTGTGTTGTATTTACCTTATATATTTTTAACTCTTATAATCTATATTTTAATTATTGCATTATATTCAGTATATTTCTCTATTAAAATATTGTAATTATCATTTATACAATTTCTATATTAGTATTATATTTAATACATTTTTCTATTTTAATATTGTATTCTATTGTCATATATTATTTGCATATTGATTACTATACAAATGTACACTATGTATTTTGAAACTGTAACAATCCAAGAAAGGAAAGTAATACTGTTACTCATGTAAAAAGAATAACGATGAAGCGACAATTCGACAACCTTCTAAAAACGTAGGCCGGACGAAAGAAAGTAAAAGCAGCAAACCCCGAGAAGTTTAGGTGAACAACAAACGCCGAGAAACTTAACGAAAGGGCGATACGTACAATCTCCCGGAGGAAATATCAACAACGCATAGAGAAATTCTTTCGCTATTAACTAGCACAAGGAGAAACAAATTTTAGCACGTGTACAATTTTTCGGCATCATTACAGTTATGAAAATCTAATATAAAAAGGGCAAGCAGTTTCATTCAGCAGAGAGTAATAATTTGAAAGCCAACTTTATAGCATCTTCAGTACAGAGAGTAATAATTTGAAAGCCAACCTTATAACATCTTCAGTACAGAGAGTAATAATTTGAAAGCCAACCTCATAACATCTTCAGTAGAGAGAGTAATTTTTTGGGAATCAACCTGTACACATCGTAAACCATCGCTCTAGTATAAAGAGTATATCATCAACGAGTGAATTACATCTTCAAGTTTTATTTTTGAAACGAAGTTCGAATCAGTGATTTAAAGTACAACTTAATAATTTCCAAAAATATATTAAATTGGAAATAAACCCAAGTATCAACGAAAGTCTAATATTGAAACGCAGTTCCAAGTTCAACAAATCTTATATCGAAGTATAACAAATTTCGAAGCATCGAAATTTGTTCAAGAGGCGACAACTGTCTGGAAGAAAGCAGATATTTTCAAAATACAATACACTATCTCATTAGTGTAAACAAGAGGATCAACACTCAACCATTAAGGACAACTGTCACAGGCCCCCATTGCGTCTAGCCCTCAACACCATTGGAGATCGGACAACCAGATATAACCACCAGTTTATACAACACCAGTAATCGTTATTCTTTAAAAGTAAGATTTTCTAAACTCAATTATACTCATTGTATTTTGTCAATTCTTTTCTTTCTTGTTGGTTTTTAAATAAATTATTCTCTCAGTACATTTAGTAGGCTCATTGACTTATCCTCATCCCAAATTAGATTCATTTATGAAACTAATTTAAAACGAGGAACGTTAGGAATATTTAAAAAGGTTTCTTGTTGTTTTTGACGTAACAGAAGCCCTTTAAAATTTTGGTGCATCGGCCCGGGAAAATTATAAAGTCGATCAGCCATTATTTTGTCAAATTTTTAATAAAATTCGAAAATTTTAATTAATATAATTTTTAAATTAATAAAATAATTAAATAAAATAAATCAATGAGTATACCAATTGTTAAAAAAAGGAAAAATTTTTTTAGTAATAAATAATAATAACAAATAGTATCAACATACATTAAAAAAAATATAATCAGTAACATTTAATAAGAAAAATAGATTTTTTTAATTTGGTACATTTTATGCTAATTGATAATATAATACAAGATTTAAGTCGCAAGGTGCATTCATAAATATACATCATAAATTGGTATTGATGAATAGAGATTCGAGTCCACTTAACTTTTTCAAGTCGCACGGTGCATTTATTGGTTTAATTCTGTATTAATATTAATAAATAGAGGTTCGAGTCCTCTTAACTTATAATTATTAAAGTTGCAAGGTGCATTCATCAAATTAAATCCTGTGTTATATTACTGAATAGAGGTTCGAGTCCTCTAGACTTATGGAATTTTTTGTCTTGTATTTGAATCATTTTTGATATTTGATTGTTCTAAAACAAAATTTGTTTTGTTCATTTAATTGTGATTTGTTATTATTATTAAATATTTGAATATATTTTAA